ACGAAGATTCTTGAAACATTCACATACTTTAACAGAGTAATTCTATTTTAGGAACTTTTCCAAAAGAACATTAGGATATACACTTGACAATTTATATTCAAGATGTTCTCTGAGAATTATTTATAGTAGAAAAAAAATTCCCTAATGTCCAGAGATAGGAAATGGGTTTGAGTGAATTGTGAAACGTGCTTAATATACAGCTATTAAAATTTTTATCTCTGTATAGCATTTAAATACATACACATTTTAAACAAATGAAAAAGCATGTATATACATAACCCCAAATCCTTACAGATTACAAAGCTGAAAGTTAAGTGTTGATTTTCTGAGTGGCAGTGTTCCTCGGCAGTTTTATTGTTTCTTTATACTTTTCTGAATTTTCCAAATATCCTACAATATATACATATTACTTTAAAAAGGAGAAAGATTTTTGTTTGAAAGTAATATGGAACCACTAGAAATAAAGACTTGGTTATAAACTATTAAAGATATTTTCTCCATTTTCAAAAGCTATTTTTCTTTTGCAGTGATATTTTCACTTCATTGAAATCTGCTTCTGTTTGCTTTTCAGTCAAGTCTGGAAATACAGCTTTCTAACCGAATGGAAATGAGCTTTAACTGTGCTACTTACCCACAGTTTGAAAATTAAGTGCAACCATTTGGCAACCAGCATTCCAGAAGAGCTGAGGCATGTAGTTGGATGAATCCACACGGGTTCCTTTTGGATATATCCTGCTGAGCTGCATTTTGTTATATCTGGACCATCATGTTAAGTAGTGAATACAATTATAAAAATAATTAGCCCATACCATTAACTTAGAAGCCACCTTCCTTCTTTCTCCATTGGGAAATGAACTAAATATTGATGATCTCATTGGGCTAGTGGATGAAAAATGTCAAAAACTTCTGAACACACAGAATAAATGTGGTTTTATAATATAAATGTACTATAGCACCCTTGCTGAGCCTTGTGGGTGAAAACTAATGAGGAAGAAAAAACGATTAAGTCAAAGTCAGTGTAATTTGGGGGAGATTTTATTGAGGGTAGGTTTAACGATTAAGGACACAGGAGTAAACTCAAGTGTGCCAAAGCACGTGACAGGATGATAACGTCTTTGGCGGAAGCAGATAATGTGAACTGCATAGTTGTTTTTGAAATGCTTTCTGCTCATTTTTTAACCTTCTCTGAGAAGGTTATTTGCTATATGCTATTTGCCAAGACTGTGGTACTCTTTATGATTGATAGCAAGGTCAAGATAGCACAGAAGGTTCTGACCTTGTTTTGTATGTTAGTTCCTACTGTAATCAGTTTTCCATCTTGAGAACCTTTTAGTTACTGAGTACTATGTAGCTATTCAACAATGCTATGTTCTTAAAACACGACCCTATTACCAAATTTGGTGGAAGTCAGCTAAGATTTTGAGCTCAGGCAGGGAAATTAGGTGTAAAAGGACCTGCACCTTATTTCTGGAAGTTGCTAGCTATAGGATCTAGGGCAAGTCATTTTGCTCTTTTCTGAGTGAGTTTCCTCCTCTGCTTGATAGATTGAATAATCCCTACATCCCAGGCTTATTGTGAGGATGAAATGTGATAAGACATCTAATGTAAGGTCTATAAAACAGTCAATGCTTAATAGTGTGACTTTGTTTATGGAGTTTACATTTGCTCCCTCTCCTCTTGTTGATGAGTTCTAAAAGTCACTTTTGTTTTTTTTTAATTTTAGGACTTGTTTCATGAAATTGGGCTGTTTGAGGCATTTACTATTGCTTTCATAAAAAA